GAGGCCGCTGCCGCCGCCGCCGCCTTCGCAGGCAAGTGGGTCACCGCGCACCTGCCCCGTGTGCACCTGCTCTAACCTGCCCACATGCACTTAACCGAGCACCTGACCTGCCCACCTGTCATGCATACCTGTTTGCCCTCACGCCTGTCCCGCATGCACCGCACACTTGCCTCACATGCATCACACACTTGTTCTGTGTGCACTGCACCTGCCCTGAATGCACCTACCCTGCATACACAGTGCCATGCACCTGTCTGTCATGCCTGTCCCATAGCTGATGTATCTGCCCTGCACACCTACTCCATGCTCCTGCCCCTCATTCTTGCCTTCCACTAGCCCCAAATATTTGCCCCACATCTGTGCCATGCCAGGTCCGCACCTGTGCCACGCACCTGCTGCACACTTGCTCCATGTCCCTACCTCATACCTGTTCTGCACATTTGCACCGCATACCAGTCCTGCACTGCCCACCTGCCTGCATTGCAGACTTGCCCTACACGTCTGTCCCACACCAACCTCGAGCCTGCCTCTTGACATAGTTGCCCCATACCAGTCCTGCACACCTCGTCTGCCTGTTTTGTATACCCACCCCACACCTGTGCCGCACCCTTGACCTGCACACCTTCCCAGTGGACTGGCTGGCTCCCACCTGCCCTGTGCATTTGCCCCTGCCCCACATACCTGCCTTATACCCACCCCACTCTGATGGCTGGCCCCGCTGTGCATGTGTACCTGCTCCAACACTCGAGTGTGGCTCTCTACTGCTCTTCTTTCTTACTCCTCTGGACCCCGCTCAGCTCACACCCTCCCTATCTTTTCCTCCATCCTGGGAGCTGGTAGGTTAGGAGGGTTAGATGTGGACCCGGCCCTGGAAGAGCTCAGGTGATGGCAATAAAGAGGGGCATATTTGGTTGCCTGAACATCCAGAGAGCGAAGGGCCAGGGCCTTCGTGGCCTGGGAACCGGGATTAGAGGTATCCCTTGTCAGGCTGGCTGCTCCATGGTCACTTGCCTATCCTTTGGGGATCTCCCCTCTGTCACTTCTAGCACAGCACCATCACTCAGGTTTCCTGCTACTGGGAACCAGGGGCTGTGACTGAGGTGGCCTGTGGAGGTCCTTTGTCCCTTCTCTAGTGCCGCGTCCCTGCCCAGCTGTGGCTCCCATGTATGTGTACACCCTGGAAGAAATGTGTGCTTTCTCTTTGCTTCTGAGAGCCTTTTCCTGTAAGGGCCCTTGCAGGCTCGGACTGGGGTGCTGTCCAGCAGTGTGAGAAACCCCAGAGGAATCTGGGAGCTTGTTTGGCACCACTGGGTCTTGGTGGAGGGGGCCCAGTTCCACCTGGCTGAGTGCTGCTGGTCCGTGAGTGGTCTGTTGCTCTACTCATGGAAGGCAGGGAAGTGTCATGGCACTGTGCTGTTTTGTGAGATTTTGAGCCATGAGGTTTTTCTACCTTAAGAACTTGTTTTAATGAGTGCAGAAAAGAAATATTACATTGCTCATCATGACTTTAGAGTAATTTATGTTGTAAGTTTTTTTTGTTTTGGGGGGGTTTTTTTGCAGATTTTTTAATGCTGGAACTAAAACTCAGAGCCTTGGATATGGCATCTGGCTACATCCCCAGCTTTTCTGCAGATTTTTTTTTTTAAATTGCGGTATGGGGATTGAACTCAGGACCTTGTGCTTATGAGGGCAGGTGCAGTACCACTGAGCTCCGTCCTTGGCCCCTCTACAGAATTTTATAGTTGTGCTTTCAAATTTTTTGATATGAATTACTGAGGTCAGGTTACCAGATGATGTGGCAGAGCAGGCTACCTTCTGAAGCTACCTTTGGCACCTGGCTGCTTGAGCTGTCTTCAGACCTGGGTCCTGAGCTGTGGGTTCAGTGCTGGCTGAGGGTGAGGTTGAGGTGGCTGCATGTGGTTGGCAGGAGCTCGTTAGTGCAGAGTTTCCAGCCAGTGCCTGTGAGTGCTGCCTCCCCTGACATGAACATTCTAGAATGCTGGGTGAGAGGGGCGACCTCTTGGCTTTTGCAGAGGTGAGGAGGGTGCTGTGATGGACAGGGGTGGCAGGGGAAGATGAGATGGGAGCTGCCAGCCCCCCTGGGGTGTTCAGCACGCTGTCGGAGCCACTGGGTCCACTCTGTGACCACCTGTCCACACTGTGGGCCACCGTCCACATTGTTGGGCAGGGATGTGCAGGTGGGACACATTTCTCGGGAGGCAGATTGGTGGGAAAGAGGGGGGTTGTACATGGGGGTGGGCAGAAGGCTACGGTGACCTGTGAGGATGGCCAGGCTGTGGCAGCAGAGGGACCCGGAGGGAGAGATGGGACTGAGCCTGCCCTGTGTGACTGGCACCAGAGCTGTGACCGTTGTGCCCGGAGGCCTAGGCCTCATGTAGGTACAGGCAGGGGTGATCTGGGGGACACAGCCTCTTACCAGCCAAGAGAGGCTGAGGTCCAGCGGTCAGCGGTGGCTCTGTGTGAGGGGGTGGTTTGTGGTGGATGTTGCTATACATAGGCTTTATTGAGTAAATGTTGAAAGAATCTGCTGGAAAGTAAAATAGGTAAAACCTGAAGACATAGGTGTAGACAAGCACTTTCTGAACAGAGTGCTGGTACAAAAAATAGCACCAAGAATCAACAAAGGGTATCATATATCAAATTAAAAAGCTTCTGCACAGCAAAGGAAATAGCCAACAGAGAAGAGAATCTACAGAGTGGAAAAATTATTCCTCAGAGGACTAATATCTAGAACATATAAAGAACACAAAATATTTGACCCCCCCCAAAAAATAAAAGACCCAATCAAGGTCTGGGGATTTAGCTCAGTGGTTCTGCTGCCTGTCTTGCAAGGTCAAGGTCCCGAGTTTGATCCCTGTTACAAAAAAGGGAGGCGGGGACTCAATTAAAAAATAGGCAAGTGGAATAGACACTTTTCAGACATACAAATAGCCAATAAACACGTTCAGAAACATCCAAAGCCATTAGAGAAATGCAAATTAACACTGAATTCTAAAAAAACTTAGATTCTGCATTACTCTAGAAAGAATGGCTATCATCAAGAAATAAAATAACAAGGCCAGGGATTTAGCTCAGTGGTTCTGCCACCTGCCTTGCAAGTGCAAGGTCCCAAGTTCACTCCCTGGTACCAAAAAAAAAAAAAAAGAGAAAGAAAGATAAAGAAAATAATTACTGCAGAGGCTGCAAAGAAAAAGGAACCCTTTTATACTATTGGTGAGAATGTAAAGTAGTATGACCATTATGGAAATCAGTATGGTGATTCCTTAAAAAACTGAAACTGAAACAGCCCGGTGTGGTGGGGGCATAGTGGCACATGCCTGTGATCCCAGCACTCTTGGGAGGCTGAGGCAGGAGGATCACTGTGAGTTGGAGACCAGCCTGGGCTGATAGTGAGTTCCAAGTCAGTCTCAATTACATAGTGAGACCCTGTCTCAAAAAACCAAAAACTGAAACTGGGCGAAACATGGTGGTGCACACGTGCAATCCCAGAAAGTGTGAGGCTTAGGCAGGAGGATTTTGCCGAGTTTGAGGCCAGCCTGTGATCCACAGTGAGTTCAAGGCCATCCTGGTCTCTATTGTAAGACGTTGTCTAAAAAAAAGTAGAAATTCCATTCAACGTAACTCTTCCCTTTCTAGGTATCTTCCTGAAAGAGTTAAAGACATCATATTACAGTGATCTATGTATGCCCAAATTTATAGCAGCATTCATAGTAGCTAAATGTTACAAATAACCTATATATTCAACAGATGAATGGATAAGGAAATGTGGTATTTATATACAGTGGGGTACTACTCTACCATAAAGAAGCCTACCTCTGAATCATTTGTAGGAAAATGCTTGTATTTTGAGACTATAATGTTAAGTGAAATAAACCAGACTCACAAGTTTAAATACTACATGGCTTCTCCTATATGAACAGCCCAAAATATAAATAAAGAGCAAACTGAGAGATAAATAATGGGAAATAGGGAGTTAGATCTTTCTCAAAAGAGAAGTGGACCAAGAGATAAGAGAGGGAAGGGGATGAAAAAAATGAAGGTGTGTTAAGTGCATATACCAACTCCTCACAAGGAATGTACATGTTAGGTTCTGCAAACATGGACTAATAAAAATAAAAATTGAAAATTAAGTTAGAGCCTTTATCAGGGAGGTTGAACGTCTCTGTTCCTAGAGAACCGGGAGTCTGAGCACTGCCGTGGAAGCAAAGCACGAGCATCTCACTGTGCGTGTGGAGCCTCAGCGGGCTCCACTGTGAGGCCATCACTGTTCAGAGTTCTGGCGTTTGTCATGTGTAAAGTCAGGCTTTGCTTCTGTTGCAGAAGTGACCACGGTGACAGTAGCCAACGTGGGCGCCTCTGCAGACAATGTCTTTACAACCTCAGTGGCAAATGCTGCATCCATCTCAGGACACGTCCTGGTGAGCTGCCCGCAGGGTAGGGCAGGGCGGGTCTGCACCTGGTGCCTAGGGTGGGGCTGGGACTCCTGCTCCGCGGCCTCCCAGGGTCCCCTGCAGGAGGCTGGCTCTGTCCATGCTGTTCTGTCTGGAGCTTCTCCTAGTCCGTCTCACCAGCTGCTTCTCCCTGGGAGCTGTCAGAGCTGCAGATGGTCTGTTAGGACCCTGGTGACCCGTGGTTGGGCGGGGGCAGGAGAGGCTGCACCTGTGCACATGTCTCTTCAGCTGTGCTCAGACCTGTAGACCTGGGCTTGGGTTTGCTTCGGCTCGACTCTGTCTCTGGAGTGGACATGGGTGACCGTGTCATATCCCCTAGTTGGCAACAGATGGTGAGAGCCTTTTTGGGCTGTGTCCTGCTGGGGGAGGTGCAGTACCTGTGGCTGTCCTTGTAGCTGACCCTTTGGACATGTCCTCTCTCCCAGTCTGGCAGGACGGCGCTGCAGATCGGGGACAGCCTAAACACTGAGAAAGCCACACTGATTGTTGTTCACACGGATGGAAGCATCGTGGAGACCACTGGGCTGAAGGGTCCAGCGGCTCCTCTCACCCCAGGTACCCTCGGCCCTCTCCGCAGGCCCCTGGAGTTCATTTCTGTGGTAAATTTGGATTACCAGATAGCAAATCTGAGTGGAAAAGGCAGGATTATCCAGTTAGAAAAGGGTGCTGCCCACAGGTGAAGCACTGGCTTTGCTGGTCTCATCCTCAGAGCCCCTCTTTGCCTCAGGCCCTCAGTCTCCTCCAACCCCGCTGGCTCCCGGCCAGGAAAAAGGAGCTACCAAGTACAACTGGGACCCGTCAGTGTACGACAGCGAGCTACCTGTGCGCTGCAGGAACATCAGTGGCACGCTTTATAAGAGCAGGCTGGGTTCAGGTAAGGTTGCACTGTCCATCTCAGGTGACCCCATCGGGAAGCTGGGGCCAGGGCTGTGGACTGTGCAGCCCCTGTGACCAGGGTCGAGGCCACAAAAGGAATGGGGAGGACCAGGCTGTTGTTTGGGGTCCCAGTGGCCTGGGCAGGTGGGTTGGGAAAGGACAGAGCTGAGTGTACTTCCCATAGGGCCTGGCCAGCTCGGACTTGGGCAGACACTCAGGGACATGGCGGAGCTTGCATTGACCATAGGCCAGAGTGGGAAGGTCAGACGGACAATCAGGGCACAGCTAGAAAGGAACTTGGGCAGAGATCTGCCCTGGGAAGCCTTCAGGTGACCATGCAGCAGTCACAGAGGCCAGGCAGCAGCAAGCCAAGAAGAGAGGAAAGCACAAGAAGGGCCCGCAGGGTGCATGTATGGCCACTTTTGTCCCAGGGGGCCGGGGACGCTGCATCAAGCAGGGGGAAAACTGGTACAGCCCGACGGAATTTGAGGCCATGGCAGGAAGAGCCAGCAGCAAGGACTGGAAGAGAAGCATCCGCTATGCAGGCCGGCCGCTTCAGTGCCTCATCCAGGTATGGCCACGCGGGGCTGTGCAGCAAGGCCTGTCGCAGACGGACCCGAGTCAGGGCTTGGCCTACTGCAGGAGAAACGTCCTGGCTCCGTGCTTGCTGTGTCACCATGGGTGTGGCATCTACACCTTCAGCTTTCCACGGGGATGATGCTGGCATTGCCCACAAGGTGGTGGGGCTTGAAAGAGTTGGTGCTGAGCATGGAGAACTTTAGACACAGGAAGAGCACAAATTGAAGCCAGGCATGGCGGCACACACTGTAAACCCCAGGCTCTGGGAGGCTGAGGCAGGAGAATAGAAAGTTCAAGCCTAGCCTGGGCAATTTAGCAACTTAATGAGACCTGGTCTCAAAATAAAAAAAGGGGGCTGGGGATGTAGCTCAATGTGAAGGCCCTGAGTTAAATCCTTGGTACTCTCAAAAAGATAAAAGAACTCGAGTGGAAGTCAGGGCAGTAGCTCCTGGTGTGAGCCTGCTGCTGCAGCTCCTGCTGTTCCTTGCTCAGTCCACTCCAGCGGGAAGGGGCCTCAGCCAAGCCCAGCTGGGGAACAGCACTGTAGAGCCCTCTCATGCCACCACCACTGATGGCACCGTGCAGACCAGGTTTAGAGGCAACTCTTATCCTTTGTGAATTGTAGGCAGGTATCAGGCCTTAGCACTCTCAGGGTGAGTGGTGTGTGCTCAGCTGGCTCTGACTTTGTGGCATATTTTCTGCCTTGCAGGATGGGATCTTGAACCCCCATGCAGCCTCTTGTACCTGTGCGGCCTGCTGTGATGACATGACCCTGGTGAGTCCTCCGCACACATGGCCTGGCCCACCTGCTTCCTGCCCTCCTTGCATCAGCCCTTGGCCTGGGTGGACCTCTGGCACTTCTCTGCCCCTACCTGCTCCCACTGCCTAAGTGGGGCAAGTTGCAGGGTGGCCCTGTAAAGTCACAGCAAACCTGCCATGTGGAGGGCTCTGTGCTGCTCCTATGCCAGCCCAGGAGCCAGACTCACACACTTTAAATGGTCACAAGTGTGTATACTGCATCACCTCCTGCACTTTGAACATTTTTTCTTTTGTTTTCTTTTTGAGATAGGGTCTCACTATGCAGTTGAGACTGACCTGGAACTCACCATGCAGCCCAGGCTGATCTCGAACTCACAATGATCCTCCTGCCTCAGCCTTGCAAGAGTGCTGGGATTACAGGCGTGCACCACCACACCCCGCTGTCTCCATTTCTCCTTCGATTTTTTTTCTTGTCCCTTCTTTCCTTTCCCCCTCCTCCCACCCTTGTTCCCCTTGTCATTTGAATATTTTCTTCCCGTTTCCCAGTACCTATTATACATTTTGCTTATTTCCACTTTCAGTTTCTCACAGCAGAGAAACAATTTGATATTTAAACATGTATGGGACTTAACTCAGTTAAGAGTACAGTATCAAGATGTATCCATTTAGCTAGAAATGTCTCAAACTTACCTTCTTTAAAGCAAAGTAGTACTCCATTGTATAAAAATACATCTTTATCTATTCATTGGTTGATGGGCATGTGGGCTGTTTCCAATATTTAGCTATTCCAAACTGCTGCTATAAACATGGGTGTGCGTATATCCCTATGGTATGGTGCTTTTAATTCTTTTGGGAAGATATCAAGAAGGGGAAAAGCTGGGTCAAATGGAACCTGTAGTTTTAGTATTTTGAGAATCTCTACACTGATTTCCACAGTGGTTGCACCAGCCTACACTCCCATCAGCAGTGGGGAAGGGTTCCTTTTCCCACACATCCCTGTCAGCATTTGTCATTGGTTGGTTTATTTATAACAGCCATTCTTTCTGGAGTGAGATGGAAACTTAGCATTGTTTTACTTTGCATTTCTCAAATGATCAGTGATGTTAAACCTTTTCTTTCTTCCTTCCTTTCTTTTTTTTTTTTTGGTACCGGGGATCGAACTTGGGCCTTTGCACTTGCGAGACAGGCAGTGGAACCACTGAGCCAAATCCCGGGTCCCCCTTTCTTTTTTAAAAAATTTGGTATCAGGAATCGAACTCAGAGCCTCACACTTGGCAGACAGGCGTGGTGCTGCTGAGCTATAACCCTGGCCATTTATTCATATATTTATTTGCCATTTCCACTTCATCTGAGAAATGTCCATTTCAGATGCCCATTTTGGATTAGGTCTTTAAATTTGAGGAGGTCCAGTTTTGGGGGGTTCTTTTTTCTTTCTTTTGGTTTTTTTAAGACAAGGTCTCACTATGTAGTTGACACTGACCTGGAACTCACTATGTAGCGCAGGCTGATCTCAAACTCACAGCGATCCTCCTGCCTCAGCCTCCCAAGTGCTGGGATTACAGGCGTGCGCCACCACGCCCAGCTCCTTCTTTACTTCTGGTATCAGATAATGCTTGCTTCCAGAAATTAATTTGAGAGTATTGTTTCCCTTTCAATTTCATTAGAGTTTGAGAAGTAGCAGCATTAGATCTTCTCTAAATTTCTTATATAATTCAGCAGTTAATCCTTCAGAGCCTGAGATTTTCTTTGTTGGTAAATTTTTAATTACATCTTCAATTTCATTGACTGATATTGGTGTGTTTACAATTTTTATAGCTTCTTAGCCGGGTGTGGTGGCGCACACCTGTAATCCCAGCACTTGGGAGGCTGAGGCAGGAGGATCCCTGTGAGTTCGAGACCAGCCTGGGCTACATAGTGAGTTCCAGGTCAATCTCAACTACACAGTGAGACCCTGTCTCAAACACACACATACACACACACAGAATTTTTATAGCTTCTTGATTCAGCTTTGGTAATTCATGAGTATGTAGGAATTTTGGGGGAGCGGTTTGAGACAGGGTCTCACTATGTAGTTGAGACTGACCTGGAACTCACTATGTAGCCCAGGCTGGTCTCGAACTCACAGCACTCCTCCTGCCTCAGCCTCCCGAGTGCTGGGATTACAGGTGTGCGCCACCACACCTGGCCTAGAACACAGGTTCTTGAAGTAGGTATTGATGATCCTCTGGATTTCTGTAGGATCTGTTGTGACTTCACCCTTTTCATTTCTAATTGCATGGCTTTGAGTTTTTCCTTTTTTGGATAAGGTTAACTAAGGGTTTGTCAATTTTATTAAGTCTTTCAATTTATTGATTCTTTGTATTGTTTTCTAGTCTCCATTGCATTAATTTCTGCTCTGATTTTTATAATTTCCTCCCTTGTACGATTGTGCTTTGGGCTTGATTTGTTGTTCTTTTTCTAGGAGCTTGAGGTTCAACATTAGGTTGTTTATTTTTGGGTTATTTTTTTTTTTTTTTTTTTTTTCTTTTTTTTTTTTTTTTTTTGTTTTTTGAGACAGGGTCTCACTATGTAGTTGAGACTGACCTGGAACTCACACTATATAGCCCAGGCTAGTCTTGAACTCACAGCGATCCTCCTGCCTCAGCCTCCCGAGTGCTGGGATTACAGCCGTGCACCAACACACCGAGCCTCACTGTTTTTCTGATATGGGAATTCACCACTATAAATTTCCCTCATAGGACTGCTTTCATTGCATCCCATGAGTTCCATTATGTTGTAATGGCATTATCATTTAATTGTAGAAACTGTCTAATTTCTTCTTTAATTTCATCTGTGATCCATTGGTTCTTCAGGAGGGTATTATTTAATTTCCATGTGTTTCTGAAGTTCTTGTGGTTTCTTTTGCTGTTGATTTCCAGTTTCATTGCACTATGATCTGATAGTATACATGGGATAATTTCACTTCCTTTGCATTTACTTAACCATGTTCTATGAGATCTATTTTGGAGAGTTTGGGATTATATCTTGATTATATCTTATTTTCTATTTTAGTTTAATTCCTGATGCTTGTAAATTGCTTATGGCAGGTAGCTTTATTGCTAGTATTTAGAACCCTTAGGAATTGACTGTCTCTCAGATATGTCTTCCAGGTGTAGCTGGCCTTTGGGTTTTAAGTCTTTTACAAGATCCTATCTCTTCAATTTATTGGGGTTGAGAATTTGCTGCCTATGTAGCCTCGCCTTTGGTTCTTTGGCACTGGCCTGTAGTATTGTTTATGACTTCCACAATCTTAGTCTTGTTGTATGAGGAAGAACAAATGATTAGAACAATTGTGTCACCTTGGCTAAAGTAATATAATCAGCAATAACAAAAGCATCAAGCACAGCCTAGAAAATGACACACTGTCCTAACTATTGATTTGCTACCTTTACACGTATGAACTGGATTTGTGGTTATAAAACAAAATCTAAAACAAACAAGAAAATTGTATACAGTAAATATCCCCTCAGTATGGTGATATTACCCTCAGGGGAGAAAATTTAAAAGGGGGTTTTGGGGACAAATAGAAAAATAGAAGAAGAGGAAGAGATTAGAAGCAAAGCTGGAGCATAAAGGAAGATTACACAAACTTTGAGGAATTGGTGAAAAAGACAGGAGGGAAAGACAGAAGGGAGAAATAAAAATAGCAACAGAACAGAACAACAGCAACAACAATAAAACCCTAGAAATAATGTTCACACTTACATAAAAGCAAGAACAAACAATCAAGAAAAAGGAAAATGAGCAGGGGCTGTAGCTCAGTGGCACCACGCCTGCCTGGCAAGTGCAAGGTCCTAAGTTCGATCCCTGGTACCTGAAAAAAAGAAAACAAAGGGCTGAGGATGTAGCTTAGCGGTGCAGTGCCTGCCTAGCAAGTGTGAGGCCCTGAGTTCAATTCCTGGTAACAACAACAACAGAAAAGGAAAGGAAAGGAAAGATAGGAAAGGAAAATGTAGATTTATGGCAAGGTAGTGAATAATCCCAGCAAACCTGTACCTTTAGTTCTGAAGTTCAGGCTGGTTTCTGGCTGTGAGGCTGGAATCCATTGTATACAGCTTGCAACACACCTTGTGTCTCCTGCTGGCTTCAACTTGGCTCCTTGACCTTCTGCTGACTGAAACTGAGTTCCACCTCACTATGATGCAGCTAGCCGTCAGCTGCTCTGAGTTCTGAGCTCAGTGGCCCCTCTCCAGGATGGCTGCTGGCCAATTACCCTCTCCTGGTAGAGGTCTGAACCCAAATAACTCAGGCAGCCACTGTAGTCCCTGTGTCCACTGCTCCATCCCATTGGTGCATTTCTCTGCGGAGGTCTCTGGGTCTCTGGGCCAAGTAGTCACCTGTGTCTGCAGGTTTGAGCCACCCTTCCCTCACACACTCACTCACTTGCTGTCTCCTCCTCCTTCATTGTAGACCCCTCACTCTCCCTGTGGGCTTCAATTCTAGCTTCAGATCCTTGCCGGGCCCCAAGGATCCACTTCCCTTCTTCTCTTTCTTCCTCTCTCTCTCTCTTTTTTTTTTTGTACTGGGGATCAGACTGGGGACCTTGTACTTACGAGGCAGACAGTGAAACCACTGAGCTAAATCCCTGACCCTCCTTCTTTTCTTTCTCCCATTGGTGTTTTCCAGTGACTGGACACCAAATCTTGGAGAAGCTGTTTCTCCACTATTCACTATTTCACCCTCTTCCTGGAAGTCTTATTTTAAAATGTCTTGAAAGTAATTTAAAGCCAGGCACAAAGGCATGTGCCGATAATACCAGTATCAGAGAGGCTGAGGTAGGAGGATCACATGTTCAATCCCCGCCTGGAGAAATAAACAACTTAGTGAGATCCTACCTCAAAAAATAAGAAGGTTGGATTGTAGGTCAGTGTGAAAACCCTGGGCTCAATCCCCACCACTAAATAAAGAAGAAAAATAAAATTTAATTGGACAGGTCCGGGATTTGGCTCAGTGGTTCCACTGCCTGCCTCCCAAGCACAAGGGCCTGAGTTTGATCTCCAGTACCCTCCCCAAAATTTTTTAAATTGGAGGACATACTATCTTCTTGTGCCAAAACATCAAGCATTTTTATTAAAAATTTTTTTAAATCAAATATTAAATTGTCTAGTTCATATGTAGATGTTTTTTGGGTTTTTTTTGAGACAGGATCTCATTGTATAGTTATGACTGACCTGAAACTCACTATGTAGCCCAGGCTGGCCTCAAATTCACAGTGATCCTCTTACCTCAGCCTCCGAAGTGTTGGGATTACAGGCATGTGCCACCATGCCTGGCCTTTCATATGTAGATTTAATGTGAAAGTGCTGGGAAAATGAACCTGATCAAAATAAAGTGATTTTAAAGTACATTTGGAAAAACTAATACATCCAGCATGGTGGCCCATACCTGTAATCTCAGTACTTCAGAGGCTGAGGCAGGACCACTTTAAGTTTGAGGGCAGCCTGAACTACTTAGTGAGATCCTGTCTCAAAAAACCAAACATCCAGCCAGACAAAATAACCAAAAAAAAACAAAACAAAAACAAAACAAAAACCCTACCAGATGGAACCAGGGCTCTTGAGGGGTAAGGAGCAGTGAAGTGTGAGAGGGAAGTTGGGAGTGCATACCAGAATCATCTGCACTTTCTCCGAGCCTGAGAAAAGGTGCAGGGAGCACAGGTGAAACCAGCTGAAAATCTGGCTGCTCGAGGAGACTGACCAAATCCGCAGGCCTGAGTCCCACGGGCTAGGGCGTTCATCTTCCCCATCCTACTGTAGCTTTAACAAAAGTACATCAAAATCCTGGTAAATTAAAAAAACCACAGGATTCTTTGTAGATTTTGACAAGCTGATCCTATAATTTATATGGAAAGGCAAAAGAAATAAAATAGCTGAGATAGTTTCGAAAAAGAAGTCTACACTCAGCAGAATCCTGTTGTGGGGTCAGGACCCTGTATGATCACAGCAGTCCATGGTGTGGTGTGCAGGTCACCTGCGGACCTGCTGGAACCCACAAGGGACCACTGGACAGTTACAGTGAGGACAAGCTTTGGCCCAGTGCTCTTGGCCTGGCCACAGGGAGGGCAAAGCCCAGCATGACAGGGATGTGCTCAGTGGGACATGGGTTTCATGGGATTGGTGACTAGCCTTAGGGACAGAGAGCTCCAGAGTACTCCCCTTCCCCATGGGAAGGGACAGTCTACCCTTGGCAGGAGCTGGTCTTGGCTTTGCCTTCAGCCACCTCTGCAAGGAGCCTCAGTTGACTGCCCAGATGGGGACCATGGGCATCTGTGCCCCTGGGCCTGCTTGAGAACAGTGGAGCCTGGCTTCAGAGAGGCCAGGGACAGAGGCCGAGATGGCGGGAGCATCGGGTGTGCTCAGCCTGCACCATGTAGGTTATGAGGGTAAGAAGTCAGTAGAGGCCAAAGGCAGAAGCTCTGGGGATGCTGGAGTTCATGCCCGCAGCTGCCACCACATGACTTGGAGCATCCAGCTCTCGGCAGATGTGAGACAGGCCGAGGGGCAGGCGGGTGTGGCCAGACATAGCCTGGGCAGGCTGGGGATGAGCAGGCAGAACCCTAGGGGAAGAGAGGCAGGCACGGCGATGATGCATCTGAAGGGAGAATGTCAGTCAAGAGAAGTTAGGAGAAAGAAAGGAGCCCAGCATACTGCTGTACATCTAATCTCAACTACTCAGGAGGCCAAGGCAGGAAGACATCAAATTTGAGGGCAGCTTGGGCACCTGTGAGGACCCTGCCTTAAACACTGAAGTGTCTTCCCTATGCAGTGCGGGGCTGGGGGATCTTCCGTCTTCCTAACTCTGGGAGGGGCCAGTCCCTGGAGCTGGCTGACGAGTTCTCCCAGGCGATGCCGGGATCTCCAGATTCCCATGACTCACTGATTTTTGTTGTTGCTGCTGGCCTGGTCGGGCTCTTTCCTTTACATCTAGGTCTCCGGTGCCTCAAGCTCTGGCTTTACTGACGGTGCTTGGGGTGGCTCCTTCCCAGCTGTGGGTTTTCTTGTCCTTTTCCACCTGGTCAAGCTTATATTCTTCTAGGAATCCCTGAAATGTTACCTGCCAGTGGCGCTGTTGGCTGCGGTTGTGTCGATACCATCCTTTTCCATTCCCTATGAACAGTGCAGAGCCAGCTCCCTCTCTGGCATGCTGAGAGCCCCTCCATGCTCTCCGTCACTCTGCCCAGCTGCCCATCTTGACCCCCTTTCTGCCTCAGAGCTCTGCGTGCCTCAACTGTGCCTCCCCCTGCAGAGCGGCCCGGTCCGGCTCTTCGTGCCCTACAAGAGGCGAAAGAAGGAGAACGAGCTGCCCACAACGCCGCTGAAAAAGGACTCTCCGAAGAACATCACGCTGCTCCCGGCCACTGCTGCCACCACCTGTGAGTCGGGGGCTCTGGCGTGTTTGCTCTGCCTGCCTGCCAGCCACGTCCCAGCGCCTGCTGTCCTCGTGTCAGTACCCCTTGTCCCATGCCAGCCACTCCTGTGCCGGGAGCTGTCTGGCCCCTCTGTGTCTGTTTCCCAGTGCTGTGTTGGTATCGGGAGTAGGGTGCCCTCTGACAGTGTTCTGGGCCCCTGGCGCATCCCCAGTGGGCTCCCCAGCACATCTGTGAGGTCTGTGAGAGTCAGTCACCGAGGCTCGCTTGCTGGGTAGTCTCTGGTGTGGACACCTGCCAAACAAAGGCTATCATTTTAGTGTGAGTTTTTTTTTTTTCCCTTGGTACTGGGAATCCAGCCCTTTTTAGTTTTGGGGGATTGTTTTTTTTTTTTTCTTTTTTTGCGGGGAGCGGGTACCAGGGATTGAACTCTGGTCCTTGTGCTTGTGAGGCAGGAAGCGGCACCCCTGAGCTAAATCCCCGGCCCTTTATTTTGAGACAGAGTCTTGTTAGGTTGCTCAGGTTGAGCTTGAATTTTCTTTTCTTTTTTTCTCTTTTTTGCTTTTTTTGAGATAGGGTCTCACTATGTAGTTGAGACTGACCTGGAACTCACTGTGTAGCCCAGGCTAGTGTTGAACTCACAGTGATCCTCCTGCCTCACCCTCCCAAGTGCTGGGATTACAGGAGTGAGCCACCATGCCTGGCTGACTTTGAATTTTATCATCCTGCCTCAGCTTCCCAAGTAGCTAGGATTATAGGTGTGAGTCACCATGTTCTGTGGCTCTAGTGGCTTTCATCGTGCTGTGTGTACATTCGCCAGTCTTCCTTGGGAGGGGGAGGACTGAGAGGAGCAGCAGCGGAGGTGCTGGGGTCCCTCATCAGTGATTCATTTGCCCCCTGACCAGCTTCCTGCTTCCTTCCCGAGCTGCTGCCCTTGGGCACTGAGCACATGGCTGGGCTCAGGAGCCAGCTGACGTGTGCTGAGGGACGTGGCTATTTGTGTCCTCAGCATTGAAGAGAGGCTTTTTACTTCTGACTACAAAAGCTTTTACTGAATATTTCATGTTTCTGTTTTCTGGCCAGGCAGTGTGTCTGCTTGGTCCCCAGGCCGACTCCATGGCGTGGGTGAGGCTCTGCCCTGCAGGCCTGAAGTCTCCTGTCTGGCAGTGTCCTCACACATGCCTGCTTCGGCCAGGCCCTGGGGTCTAACACCTGTGTCCTCCCGGCTTGCCTTTCCAGTCACTGTGACACCCTCGGGGCAGATCACCACATCTGGGGCACTGACCTTTGACCGTGCGTCCACTGTGGAGGCCACTGCTGTAATCTCGGAGAGCCCGGCCCAGGGTGACGTCTTCACGGGAGCCACAGGTGAGCTGCTCCAAGGAGAGTCCTGCCCCTGCCTCGTGTCCCTGCAGCTCAGGGTCCCTTCTGTGCAAGGGGAGCTGCTCAGGTAGTTGGTGTGTGACTGGGGATGCAGGTTGACTTCTGTGTGGGCCAGGCCGTCAGGAGAGCCAGGCAGCTGACCAGGGTGACTTCCCTCACGCCCTCCGTCCCATCGAGCACATCCTGAAGCTGCCACAGCCCACAGCTGTGGATGGAGTTGGAAACTGCAGCACCACCGCCAGCTACCCTGTCCTTCTTGCCTACAGTGCAGGAGGCCAGCGTGCAGCCCCCCTGCCGGGTCGGCCACCCTGAGCCCCACTACCCTGGCTATCAGGACAGCTGCCAGATCACACCCTTTCCTGAGGCCGCATTGCCGACATCACACCCCAAGATAGGTGAGTCTGGTGCCCACCCTTGTTCTCAGAGTGGCTTGGTTTTTGCCGTGCTGGGGATGGAACCACCGTTGCTGGAGTGTGCCCAGCACACGATCTGCTGCTGAGCCACACCCCAGCCCAGAGTTGTTTCTTGGGAGAAGTTTCCCTGGTAAGTGGGCTTGCACAGGTGTGAAGCATGATCTTGGGCTGGCAGAGCCCCTGGACACAGCCACTCTGCCCGCTTCTGTTTGTGTGCTGCTTTGCACAGAGACAGAAAAGTGCCTGGCCCAGGGAATTGCCAAGCCCAGGAGGAGGGTGTTGACAGTCTGTCTGCCATGATGACAGACCCACCACCAACACCATGCCACAGAGCAGCACTGCTGAGGGCAAAGGGACCCAGTTTATGGCCTGATGGCTCAGAGTGCAGAATCAGTACTTCTCTGAGTACTTGCACTTAGCTCCATGCTTTGGACCCATTTCTGTGTCTTCACCTCAACGGTGCATGCTGTCATTGAACTGCTAATGGCCCTTCCTGTGCTGACGGCCATCACATGCTGCACTGTCATTGTGACCAGCAGTGAGGGAGACACGTTCCTGAGTTTGAAAAACAAGTCACCTCCCCTTCCCTGCCCTAGACTCTTCCATCCCTCAGGCTCAGGTTAGATTCTACCTTCCCCAGACCCCTGCAGGCCCCACTCAGCTGGGCACTGTCCTGCCCTGGGTAGGACTATCCCCTTGGCTCTGCTTATCACAGGGTCTGGTTCCCCAGGGCCACTGAGAGCTGTGACACCAGGGTGTTCTGGTTGCTTCCTTCAGTGGAGGCATTGACCCCACTTGCCTTCGAGGCTGAATGGGGCCAGGGGCCTCCAGCACCAGGGAGGTAGGTCCTTAGTCCTAACCCTGGTCCCCTTCCTGTATGGCCTGCCTGTCATGCTCCAAGGTCCTGGAGAGCTGTCCTGCAGGGTGGCCCTACCCACAGCTGCACACTGATATGCTGGGCTCTGCCGTGTGTCTCAGTCAGAGATGCTGGACATGGGGCAGGGGCTGGTGAGGCTCTGGGCCTGTGCTCTTGTCTTATGCCTGCGGAGAGTGATCTGGGCCGTGGCTGAGGACCTGGGTCTTCTTCTGTGGCAAGAAGAGGCCATGGGTCCCAAGGCCCCAGAGCTGCCCCTGCTCATTGCGCAGGGCTGCCTGTCTCTGTCAGTGGTGCTGACTGCTGTTGTCATCCATCCTCTGACTGCCCTACTTGGCCGGGAATCCTTGCGCATGGCTGGGTTCTGCCTACCCTCAAGGATGCATCCTTGCTTTGTGGCCCAACCATGTTGGATCTCCTGTTCCTCCAGGAGCCTGGCCACGTCAGTGGTAACTGGTGCTTCTGGTCCTGGGTCCCAGCCCTCATGATGCCTCGTTATCTCTTCTGGGCCTTGTGTCCATGTTGGGTGGCAGAGATGGCCTTCAGGGCAGTTGAAGGTTGGAGGTCAGCGTCACTGTGCATTCTGGGTGCAGGGCTGTGCCTGCCCCTTGGGAGGCAGGACACGTGTGTACACGACATTCTCACATGCATATACACTTCTGTGCATACACACACCTCTGCTCCAATTAACCCCATGGTTGCTCACATGCCCTCCTGTGTATGTGTGCCCTGATTTCCAGCTGTGAGAAACCTGGTGTCTGGATCTGGATTCCCTAGTCTGTCTGCCTCTCAGGAGGCCCTGCCCTTCGGTCCTTGTCCTCGGGTCCGGTGCTCCCAGGGCAGTGTCTGGCCTACAGTTGGTCTCAGCTGTGAACATCACCCTTACCCGCCCTGTCCAGCATGGCTGGGCCTTGGCAGGGCTCCCACAGCAGCACTGGAAATGCCATATGGCACTGGGCATGGACACAATGGAGGGAGGACAGTGTCCTTGGTCTCCAGGCTGGTCAGGAGGGCATCAGGCTGCGTCCTGGCACCTGGGGCTCAGAGGCCAGGTGGAGAAGGCGCCCTGACCCCTGCTGTCCCTTCTCAGTGCTCACGTCCCTGCCCGCCTTGGCCGTCCCACCCTCCACCCCCACCAAGCCTGTCTCCCCGGCGTCTCTCAGTGGGCTGGAGATGGTGGAGCCACGGAGCTGGCTCTACCTGGAAGAGATGGTCAATAATTTGCTTAACACAGCACAGCAGCTGAAGACACTGTTTGAACAGGCCAAGCAGGCCAGCACCTGCCGCGAGGCTGCCGCAACACAGGCCAGGATGCAGGCTGACACAGAGCGAAAAGAGGTAAGGTAGGCGTGGGCCATGAGGCCCACTGCCTGTGTGCAGGCCACTGTCACCAGCAGGGATTCCCTGCAGGAGAGACGCCTGCTGTTGACCGCATACCGGGGAGTGAGCCCCGGACCTCACATGCTGTGCAGGTGTCTGACCCTGATCTGCAGCCTGTGCATCTCAGGTAACTTAGGGCCAAGACCTCCTAGGTGCTGTGAGGGCTTTGATGGGGCCAGCTGGTGGCCTGTGGAGGAGAGCACAGTGTCATTCCACACAGGCCGCTCTGCCCGATGTCACAGGACATGTAGAGCAGTAGCTAGCAGGTGGGCCTCCAGTCTCGAAGCTCAGCACCAGATTTTCCAGTCCAATGAGTGTGGTCCTTGTTCCACTAGAACACAAGTTCTGATCTTACAAGTGATTCCTTAAGGTGGGGTGAATTTGTTTTCAAGACAGAAAACATTGTTTCCACTCTTGGAGATAGAACAAAAAAAATATGATTCCAAACTAAGACATACTCCGTGCTGCAATTCGGAAGGCAGAAAAGTTTAGAGAAAACAAAATCTGACATTCCTTTGCCAAAAGATGACAGTTAATGTTTTCTGTATCCTTTTGGACTTGTTAAAAGTAGATGTAAATTTTTGTCGCAAGTTCCTGGATCTGGGCACATGGCCAGCAGGCTTGGGCGAATGTGCTGCGGTCACAGGACACCTGCCTGGCAGCTCCTGCTCCCATCCTGCTGTCCCACCTGCACCCTGGTCTTGGCTCTGCCATCAGCAGCAGCTCTGGCCCCAGGGGGCTCGATGAGCGGCTGTCCAACTCCTACCCTTCCTGTTGCTGCTTTTGTCTAGTGTCCTGTTTCTGAGGCTGAGGTTCATTTTTCTCAAGCTCCCAGCAGGCTCAGGAGAAAACCTCTCGGCCCATGCTGCCTTGGGGATATTTGCCAAAAGGCCCAGGTATAGGCATAGAGCAGCTTTTGTACTTTGACCTGTTGTTGAGATGTGTGTTTAATTTTCAGACAGTTGAAGGTTCTCTAGATTTCTTGTCACAGTTGATGGGGTGGGGGGCACTGGGGGAAGAACCCAGAGCCTGGACCACAACTCTGCCTTCTGAGCTACACCCCAGCCCTTTGTTGCCAAGTCTGGGCTTGACCTTAGGAGCTACTCAGTGTGATTTATGTCTGGATGCTCATGGGCAACGCAGGCCAAGGAGGCCATGTTAACTGTAGCAAAAGCTCTTTTTTGAGCCTGCTTCCCAGGCTGATCCCTGACTCCTGGGCTGCAGTGTCCCCTAGCTCTGTCTCCCAAGTAGCTGAGACGACAGTTGTCCTGCTGTGCTTGCTGGCCAAATGAACTCTTGGTTCTGCCGGGCACAAGGTGCCCATGAGGCCTTGATGCGAACCTATGCCAGGGTTATAAAATTCTACCTTGGCTAGGTATGGTGGCACTCACCTGTAATTCCAGTGCTCAGTCTGAGGTGGGAGAGTTGCTGCAAGTTTGAGGCCAACCTGGGCTACATAGTGAGTTCAAGGCCAGCCTGAGCTATATAGTGAGACTTTGCCTCAAACCCGCTGGCCCCAGTGCAGCAACAAGGTAGCTAGCCCACATCATGGCCTCGTGATCCAGTCCCGGGGAGGGTGAGGCCCCGCCACTGCCCTGCTTCTGGGTCTGGCCAGACGGGCCTCCCTCACCAAGACCGTGGTGATGGAGGTGGGCACGCAGCAGGACAGAGCGAGTCACTGGGCTGTGTTAAGAGTGGATTCTGGCTTGGGTGGCAAGCCACTGCGAGCCATGGGACCAGATGTGAGCAGTGTCTGTCCCCCAGCGCAGGCAGGTATGGTGAGCAGCATCTTGGGGTGTGGGGGCTACAGGCTGGGGAGGCAGCATGGGTGGCTCTTGGTGGAGACCGCACAGGTGGCTTCCCTTCCACTTTCGGAAAGTGCCTGGGGGTTTTCTGTTCGGGACTTCCTGAAGTACTGTGTGAACCTCAGCCAGTGTTGAATGTGATTCCATTCCCTGAGCCTGAGCCTGGAGAGCGGGAAGATGTTCAGTGCATGGGCTGAGTGAGTGAGTACCGTGCCCCTGCTGGGAGCAGAGGCCCCAGGATCTGCCCAAGTCGGGTGTTCACTCCCCTCCCTCAGAAGCCCCCAGAGACAGTATGGATGGAAGGCCTCACACTATGGCCTGGATCTTTTATTTATAACTTTTGCCCACTCTTTTATTTAAAATTTAATTTTAAAAGAAATAAACTCAGGAGCCGGGGATTTAGCTCAGCGGTTCGGTGGCCTGCCTTGCAAGCGCAAGGACCTGAGTTCAATGCCCAGTACCAAAAAAAAAAAAAAGAAAGAAAGAAATAAACTCAAGAGCCGGGGATTTAGCTCAGCGGTTCGGTGGCGTGCCTTGCAAGCGCAAGGACCTGAGTTCAATGCCCAGTACCAAAAAAAAAAAAAAAAAGAAAGAAAGAAATAAACTCAGCCCAGTTGAGGGTAATAAGGGGATTTTTGCCAGTTTTAGTGGAAAATTTGCATTCATGTGTGTGTGATTAGTTTTGCTGTAGCTAAACAGGGCAGAAGGGCACTTGTCCTTGCTGTCAAGGCCACTGAGTCTAGCAGCTGCCACCGAGTGGCCCCGGGCCCTTGGGTTGACCGCCCCGGCCTGGCTTGGACTGGCACTGTCTGAGGCTATCTCTGCAGCATGTCCCCACCACTCCTTGCTCCTTCTCACCCTTCTTACGGCCTCCTTCCCAGCTTTCTCTGTGAAAGTTAAATGTGTCTCAGCACAGTTGCAGTGAAGGGGTGGCCAGCCTGGTGACTCTGACCCCCTCCTTCCCTCAGCAGCATAGGGCTTGGCCCAGGTCCCTGAGGGTCAGGCAGGGCACCTCCGCTCCACATGAACCTGACACACCCAGGCCTGATGGTGGGTGAGGAGCACGGCCCCTGCTGGTGTCTGTCTTAGGAACTCAGGAGCTGACTGCTGATGCCACTGGCTATGCCCGAGTCCCTGGGAGGGTCCTCAGAGCACCTGCTGAACAGTAGGGGGCCACCTGGACACACCTGTCTCCTCAACCTCAGGAGGCAGGGCACTGTGACAGGCCCCCTGGGAGATGTGAGGAGGCCTGACAGCCAGTGTGACAAGCACAAGGCTGGGACACAGGAAGACACTGGCTGCAGTGCCTGCAGGCCAAGCCGTCCACTCCCAGGTTATGGATGTGGCCTCCCTAGCATGGCCCAGTGGCTTTCTGGGGTGGTGTCACAGCTCTGGCCAGCTAGGGAAGATGCCATTAGACTGATCCCTTGATCAGCTTACACCATCCAGCCTCCGGATGGACTTGGGTGTAGGTTTCTTGTTCCTTCAGTTGCTGCCCCTAGGAGTGACACTGTGACATTCAGTGGATGACCAGAGCCTCTCTCATTGATCTGTATCACTGTCCTTACTGAGCACAGGCTCTGCCCTGTGGTCCTGAGGGAGGAGCCCTCCCACCCCCCAGGTGTTGCCTATGACCCTGCCCCTGGCAGGCCCTAACCCCAGGTACTGGATGGAAATGGCTCCACTTGCCCTGGGCAGCTGGCTATAACTGCCATAGAACCTCAGAGTTCAGAGGTCAAGAACCAAGGATGGAAAAAAAAAGGTGAAGGGACAGCTAGTTGTCATGAGCTACCCTGTGCCCAGCTCCTAAGTTTTCAAGTTCAACCTTTTGGATTATTTCCAGAATAAATAACAAAAACAGTATTGAGCATAGTATTCCTTCATAAAGAATTAGTAGGCCGTTTTAAAGTGATTTTTTTGTCAGGCTAGGTGAGGTAGTGTACACATATAGTCCCAGCACTCTAGAGGCTGAGGCAGTAGGATCGCCCTAAGTTTGAGGCCAGCCTGGGGTATATATATCCTAAAAATAAATTGATTTTTTTGGAGGGGTCATATTCTCTGTTGGCTCTTGAAGGCTAGGTCAGGCGGCACACACCTGTAAATAGTTACTTGGGAGGCTGAGGCAGGAGGATCATGTGTTCAAGGCCAGTCTGGCCAACTTAGTGAGACCCTGTCCTAAAATAGAACAAGGGTTGGATGTAGTTTGGCGTTAGAGCACTTGCTTAGCATGCACAAGGTGCTAGGTTCCATCCCCAGCACTGCAAAAAATAAAATAAAACACAGTCAAGTAAAATAAAATAAAAGCAGCTTGGTTCCCATGATACACGGCTCTGAATGTGTTCCATCTCAGAGCCAGTTGTGTTGATGGCGATGTAGCCAACTTAGCGCTGACTACTCAGGGTGCTACTCCTTGGGAGTGAGGCCACGCTGCATGCTCTGCACATGGAAAGTCCCTTGCAGGGTCTGAGGCGGCAGGGCCTGGACACGTCTTTTCAAGTGCCGAGGCCGGGTCTCCCTGCCCAGAGCAGCTGCTGGCACAGGGCTCTGGTGGTGGCAGCAACGGCTGAGTGAGCAGCAGTTGAAGGTGCTCTGCCTTGGCTGGGGCTGTGGCATCTGCCTGGGGCTCTTCTGGATCCCTAGCTTGCCGGCGGGCAGCCTCCTGGTCCTGTCTCTGAGATGCACATGGGACACGCTCAGGACACTCATCGTGCACTGCACTTCTTCCCCAGCTGGGTTTTCTGTGTGGCTGACGGGGTCCTTGCAGAGCGGATGCTGCTGCTGGTGCATATGGGGCAGATGCAGCGAGGCAGGAGTGGGGCCTGAAAGAAGGGACCACGTTGGAGGCCAGTCTGCCCCTGCGTGTCTGTCCCTTGTATCGGGCCAGGCCACTGACTGCCCTGTTCCTCCGGCAGCAGTCCTGCGTGAACTGCGGCCGGGAAGCCCTGAGCGAGTGCACCGGCTGCCACAAGGTCAACTACTGCTCCACCTTCTGCCAGCGCAAGGTATGTCCGGTCTGTGGGACCCGTCCTCCTCCTTGTCCTCCAGTGCTGTGCTGTGCCCGTTGCTCCTCAGGAGGCCCCACAGGTGGCAGCCGTTGGCTCCAGGGGCCATGACAGCGTCAAGGCACCGTCTGACCGGCAGGTCATGTGGATCTGTGTAGAGGGATGCACAACCTGCTTGTCCCTCAGCTCCTTGACGTAAGGAAATGAAACTACAAACGCTGTCCCACATCCCTAGTGCTTATTTCTCCCTCCCTCAGGCCACTCATGGTCAGTCAGGTCTTACTTAGTTAACGTGGACGGCTCTTGTGGTGTCACCAGCCCCTGACCTCCCGGGAGTGTCCTGCTCCTGGCTGTACACGCTGACCCTCATCCCCGCGGGGTGCGGCTTCCCCAGGGCAGCTGTTCTGAGATGAAGGAGTGTGGTGGTGGGGACAGGACCACACGGCCCTCCGGCCCTGCTACCTGGGCCTGTGGGAGTTGGGCCTCTCTCCAGGTCACCTTAGTCACAGCTGTGTCCTCTGCTCTTTATGGAGTGCTTCCTCAGGAACATTTGTGCTTAGGGAATGACCTGTCTCCTTTCATCCTGCCTCCCTCTCTGTGGGGACTGGGAGGGTGGGTGCTGACCCTCGATCCGACAAGAGGGACCGTTATGTCCTTGGTTGTCTGGAGCCCTTGTTGCTGGGCTGCAGGCTGAGTCTTGCTCTATGATTCCTGCTTGGTGCCCATCTGAACTCTCCTGGGTTGGAAGGTGCTGTCGGGGCTAATGAGGATGCTGGTCCAGTGTGGGCACAGCCCAGTTGCCCTCACAAGAGCCCGGTTCTGCAGACAGAACCTTGCCAGACCTGTTGCACTCTGATGCTGGCTCTGTCCCAGCAGAGGAATGGAGGAGCCCAGCAGGAGGGGGGTGTAAAGGACTGGCCTTGGGGTGGGCACAGCCCAGGGTCTGCAGATGCCTAGGCCCTCCCAGGGTATGCAGTAGGGTAGGGACAGCATGGCAGAGGTACAGGAAGCAGGACCAGATGCCTAGGTCCCCAGAGCTTCAGTAAGGAGTTTGACTGAGAAAGGGCATCAAAATCATTCCTCTGCACTTGAAGAGACTGACCAGAGCCCAGGGCTGCCGAGAGGGAGGGGACGAGGTCAAGGCGTGGGCACACATGTGGTTACAGTAGATTCTGCCACGTGACGTGGCTTTTTGAGCGCAAGCTCCTGTAGTCCTCCCCCTGGGGATGGAACGCTGGGCAACACCTTGTTGACAGATTCCGCCCTTTATTTTGTAACTTCCTTGACTGTATTGATAACAGGTGCTCCACTTTTATTAATTCAGATGATAATCCCTGCTTCGAATACTGCATCAAAGTGAGCACTAGATAGGACTGCATCTCCTTACCTGAGCTTGGAGGACACCCACAGAGGAGCTCCGCACTGCCTGTTTCTGTGGGGCAGGATGGCAGTTATAACTTGTTTTTGGGTTTTAACTTGCACAGCGTTTCTCTTTAAACTTTACGTGTGTGAATTTACATCTTTACTGTGGTATGTACAATTTGTACGCCATAGAATTCAGCCACTTTAGGTGTACAGTTCAATTCTTTTTTGGTTTTTTGTTGTTGTTTTTTTTTGCGGGGGGGTTTGGTTTTTTGAGACTGACCTGGAACTCACTATGCAGCCCAGGCTGGTCTTGAACTCACAGTGATCCTCCTGCCTCAGCCTCCCGAGTGCTGGGATTACAGGTGTGCGCCACCACGCCCGGCTACAACTCAGTTGTTTTTAGTGAATCTTTCACAGAGCTGTACAGATACCACAGTTCCATTTTAGAACTTTCCTCCATAAGGTTCTGTCTGGACATTCACAGACCAGAATCGTCTCCAGTGGCCATCGCTAGCTTCTGCTCACCCGGTTTCCAGGACTCATCCATAGTGTAGCACAGTGAGGTTTTGTCCCTCCTGTGCTGCCCAGCCACATTCCCAAGTGCTGGGAGCACAGCTTGCCTGTGTACCTGCATCTCTCACCTCTGAGCAGTAAGCTGTGGTCCAAAGTGACATCCCACTGCGGTGCTGGCCTTGTCTCCATATCCTCATCAGCCTGGATCCTTGGATCACGGCTGTTCTGTAGGTGATGTGTGGTCTCAGCTTGACGTGACTGCAGCCATCTTGGCCACCATGACCACCCAGAGTGACACTAGCTGGTATTTCCTGCATAGTTTCCCAGCAAACTTTAAAGAGATAAAATCATTAGACTCACAGGTGGGGCTTTGCAGCTGTACCCTGGTCACACCAACCAGATAGTCACTTTTGCCCCAACCAAAAAATACTCCCCTTTCTGACCACAGTTCAGGCTCCCTGGACCCCACTGAGGCTGGGCATCTTTGTTACATTCACTAAGCATTTGCATATCTTTTTTGGTGAAATGCCTCTTTAAATCTCTTGCCTACTTTTCAAGTTGGATTGCTTCTTTTCTTATGGAATTTAGAGCCTTATATGTTTGGGATAACAAGTCCTTTATCAGATATATAATTTGCAAGTACTTCCTATCTGTGGCTTGCCTCTTCTTTGTGTTTTGGGTGCTGGGGATTTGGATCCAGGGCCTCACACAACACAACCCTTCACTTCTTAATGACATTTCTTACATGGTAAATATTTTTAATTTTGATGGTTATGAGGACAGTGCTTTTGGCATTTTATCCTGGGACTTTTGGTGTTGTACCTGTTTTGCCCAACTCAGGGTAAACGGAAGATTTTTTTCCATTTTCTCTTCTAAAACGTGTAATTTTAGCTAAGGTTTAGATTTATGATATTTTAGGTTTTATTTATTTATATTTTTATTTTTTTATTTTTATTTTTGTGGTGCCAGGGATTGAATTCAGGACCTTGCCCCTTGCAAGACAGGCAGCAGAACCATTGAGCTAAAGCCCTGGCCCTAGTTAGTTTTTATTGATGGCAGCCGGCACGGGTTCAAGTTCATTCTCTGCACATAGATATCCAGGATCTCAGCTGTCGCTGCAGGATGTGCTTTGCAGTCAGAAGGGGAGTCCTCCAGCTTCGCTCTTTTTCGAACTGCTTTGGTTGAAGTGGTCCTTTGCATTTTCTGTGCATTTTGAGATCAGCTTGTCGGTTTGTGGAAAGGCCTACTGGGAAGCATCAGTGCTTGATCACCGAGCCTCTAGTCTGTGAGCAAAGTGGCTTCAGGAGGGTTTTGTGAGTCCGTTGTCTAAAAGTCTGTCTCCTCTTGTTGTTTTCATTCCAGAGCAGCTTATTTGTGGATGCTTGTTTGAATGCAGTTGTTTTCTTAGTCTCATTTTCAGGTGCTTACTGCAAGGATACAGGAAAACAAGTGATTTTTGTACTGTGTGGTTACATTAAGACCGTGTGGTCTCTGAATAAAGACAGTTTTTCCTTTGCAACCTGGGGGTCTGTTCTTTTTTTATTGCATCACTACACCCTCTAATGTAGTACAGTGCTGAGGTGTGTTAGGGGTGGAAATCCCTGCCCTGTTCCCCATCTTATGGGCAGACAGTTTGCCCTCCGTCGTTAACTGTGGTGCTGCCTGTAGGTCTCTCAGCAGAGGAGGCGCTCCCCTTCCATTCCCAATTGAGTTTCTGCCGGTAATGCTGCCGTGTTCCACAGTGACCTCTGGAGGGGTTAAACTAACCCTGGGAAACCCGTTTCCTGGGCAAATCCCGTGGTCACAGCTCACCACCCTGTTCCTCCCTGCTTGATCTGTTTGTCATCTTGTTGAGGATTGTCTATATCTGTGCATGAGAGATCGGTCCACATTCTACCCCGAGGTGTCCTTCTGGCCTCTGGCTGAGTCAGGAAGTGCTTGCACCTCTCCTGAAAGACTTGGGTGATCACTGTTGTTTCCTAGCAAAGGCTTGTTGAAGTCACTTGCAAAACCAGCCAGGCCTAGACTTCTCTGCAGAAGAACTTTTACTACCTGAAGTTAGGTTCTGTTGCTTCTTGAGTTGGTGTTGGCAGCCCACAGCCTTATGGGAACCTGTCCGCCTCTTCAGGGCCATCTGTGGTACTCCATTAAGATCCTTCGGATTTCTGTGGCTGGTTGTGAGGTCTGTTTGCTGACGTTGGCAGCAGGGACTCTGGTATTTCACAGCAGGCACTCCAGGTTTGTCCACTCCAGGTCTGTCCACTCCAGAGGTCTCATCAGTAAACCAGCTCTCGGTTCCACTGCTGATGTACTGTTTCCTGCTTCCTACTTCTATGCCATCTGCTCTACTCCTTCCCTTCGTTCCTCCTGCTGTGCTTGGTTTGCTTTTGTTTTTCCCAGTTCTTGGGGTGAAAGTTTATGTTGCTAACTTGATGTCTGTCCGCTTTTCTAATACACATTTAAAGGGGCATATTGTCCTCCCATTCCACAGCCCCAGGGCTGTCACACACACACACACACACACACACACACACACACACGCGCGCGCGCGCGCACACACACACAGGTTGTTTTCCTTTTTATTCACTGACTGGTGGGGTGTAGTTCAAGGGTAGAGAGCTTCTAGCATGCTCACAGCCATGGGCTCTGCCCCCAGTAATAGAAAAAAAAATGTTTATTTTGTGACTTCTTTAGAAGTGTGTTAGTTTCCAGGTATCTGTGCATTTCCTAAGCCTACATCTGTCACCAGTTTCTACTTGTTCTGTAGTGGGAGAACATGCTGTGAAGGACTTCCGTCCCTCTGAACTGACTGCAGTTTGCCCAGGCCTGGCCTGTGCCCCTTGTGTGTGCTTGCTGATTTCTCTCTAGGACTCAGAGGAAGGCAAGAGTTCCAGTTGTCATTGTGTTACCTCCTTCTATATTCAGTGTTGTCACCTTTTGCTTCCTATATTTGGGGGCTCTGTTGTTAGGTTAGCATTTACTGATTAACTTAGAGGGACTGAGGATTGAACCCAGGGTGTTTTTACTTCAAGACATGGTCTCATTAAGTGGATAAGTTGCCTGGGCTGGCTCAGACTTGAGATGCTCTGTCATTGGTCCAGGCCCCAGCCGGGGGGGAGCTCTCCATGCTGGGTGCTCTGGACCCTTGCTGTCTTGAGCCTTTGTCCGTCCATCCCTGGGGTTCTCTTACCCAGCCATGGCTCCCAGACCTGTAGGTCTCATGTATTTCCTGTGGAGGACCTGGGCTTCCGGGGAGCAGGGACATCTGAGGAAGCCTGGCTTTCCACTTCGAATGCCTTCCTAGCTCCTCTTCCCCTTGGGGAGGTGCTACATCTCCCTGTTCCCTGCTTGCTTTTGACCCATGAGCCCCAGATTCTTTTAGATTTTTTCAGTTTTTTTGTTTTGCCAGTACTGGGGATGGAATCCAAGGGTACTCTATTACTAAGCTATATCCCCAGCCCTTTTTTCTTTATTTATATATTTATTGACACAGGGTCTCACTATGTAGTTCAGACTGCCCTGGAACTCACTGTGTAGCCTAGGCTGGTCTCGAACTCACAGCAGTCCTCTTGCCTCAGCCTCCCGAGTGCTGGGATTATAGGCATGTGCCTCCATGCCCAGCACACCCCAGCCCTTTTTAACTTTCCTTTTGAGACAGGGTCTCCATAAATTGCCAGGCTTCGAACTTATGATCCTTCTCTGAGAGCTTCCTGAGTACCTGGGATTACAGGCCCATACCACTGTGCCTGGCTGGGAACCTTGTTGGGTATTTTTTGTTTTATTTTTGGTACCAGAGATCAAACTCTGGACCTTACACTTGTGAGGCAGGTGGCAGAACCACTGAGCTAAATCACCAGCCCAAGGGAACCTTGTTTTTAAACCCACCCTGGTTGTCTGATCCTGAAATCTCAGGAGTGAGGGGAAGGCTAGACCCCAGGTAGGCTGGAGCAGGGGCAGGAAGCACAGGCACTGGGTTGATGTGCCCTGGCCCAGCAGCTCTGGGGCGAAGGGCCAGGGCCACCTCATCCCAGCCCCTCCACATAGATGTCTTGCTGTGTCTGAGGTGCCCTCACCACCACCCTGCTTACATGACTGCCGTCTTTACCTCTTTGCAGGACTGGAAAGACCATCAGCACGTATGTGGCCAGTCGGCAGCTGTCACTGTCCAGGCTGATGAAGTCCACGTCACTGACAGTGTGATCGAGAAGGTCACCGTGTGAGCCAGGCACTTCCCCACCTCCCGTACGGCTGATGACCTGTGGACTAAGACGTGGAGGACACCAGGGGCAGGAAGCAGCTGGTAGACAGGTTCCACAAACTGCAAGCCAGCAGCACCTTGGACAGGAACTGCCCCGCCAGAATGCCCAGAAGGGCTGATGGCTAGTGACAGACCAGGTTCCCACTCCTCACGGTGCTCTCAGCTGGGTCACAAGTGTGCGGTCACCCGTGGTGTCCCTGCGCCGCAACACATGTACGTACGTGTATATGTTGTGTCTGTCAATAAAGCTGTAAATAAAGTCCCTACCCCTCCCATCCGCTGGTGGTTTAGCTTGATCTAGGCTCACAGCCTAAGGGAGTCCGTCCTGTTTGTCCTCGGGGTGCGTGGCAGGGCCAGGCTCCAGTGTTTCTCTGGCTGACCCTGAGCAGGGCCTCCACTGGGACAGGATGTCTGCCTCAAGCAGCTATGGCTGGAGAAGTGGGTTCCAGTCCTTCTGTAGAGGGGATTACATGGGAAGGTGGCCTCAAGATTAGCTGGCTCCACATCCTCTCCCAGCAACCTGGTAACTGAGCTATGCCTGAGGCGACTTGTTCAGTGCACACAGAACATTTTGTGTGGTAGCCTGTGCCCAGGGTCACAGAACCCTGGTCATCTTTTGTGCTGTCCACTCTGCTGTCCTCAGGAGCAGGGCCACAAGGCTGGATGCATTTGGGGGTCCTCACCCCAGGGTGTTCGTGACCTCCTTTGCAGACATCAGTGTTGCCATGTTCTGGAAGCTTCCTGAGCTTTTCAGCCACGCCCTCCTCTTGCCACCTGAGGTCCTGTCTGCTGGGTTTCCTGGAGAGGCCTGAGAGGAGACAGATGCACCAAGCCCAGCTAGGAATGGCACCCATTCCCATGCTTGAGGGTCCTTGAAGCTCCCAGGCTGACCACAGGGGTGATGCCCACAGGCAGCAAGTCCAAAACAAAGGCTGTGAGCAGGAGGCACCAGGTTTGGGAGGCACCTGTACTCTGAGGACCAGCCTGAGGCCAGGGCTTTCTACCCTGGTTGCCTGAGGACCAAGTCTGGGCCCCTTAAGCTGGCCTGTCCCTGGGATGGGCAGGCTGATCCCCAGCCCTCTGGTGGCTGCCCCATCCAGCCAAAGGGGCCACATAGAGGCTACAGGACACCTGCAGGGGTCTGGGCCTGGCCATGAGGTTTGCAGCAAAAGGTGGCAGGAAGCTGAGGACCACTGCGTGGGCAAAGGACTGCCCTGACACTGTTGAGCAGAGGGTCGTCTGTGGGGCATAGGGACACATCCCTGAGGGGAGGTACCCAGAGCCTTATTCAGGGAGGGTCCAGATGGACACCACTGGCCTCCTGGAGTCCCGACGTTTCCTGGGTTTGGGGAACATCGTGCTCTTCTCTTGGCTTTAAAATGGAACCTGTGAACCTTGGGCTTGAGGTTTCTTTGGGAGGCTCACTGAGGGTCTTGGTGTCAGCCCTGGAGTGTGGAGGCTTCTGGTGGCCTTCTCTACAGAGCTGCTCAGAAGGGCCAGCAAGGGCAGAGCACACTTAGGCCTTCAGGTCCGGAGGCAAAGCTAAGGGAGTCCCAACCCCCACAGGGTTACCCTCTCCCCACAAACCTGTGACCAGTTGTTCCCTGAGGTATGAAAAATGGCTATTACTGGAAGGAGGCTGGGGGGGGGCTTCCTGCATGCACTGAGGCCAGGAAGGGGGTACATGGCATGGGGCGGTGGCCCCCATGCCCAGAGTACTTCCTGATGCTGGGATAAGATGGTGTTCTCAGCTCATACACCTCAGAGCCCCTCATTTCTCAACAGGCATAAGGGGATGATGAGGTGCCTCCTGCTCCTGGACTAGATTGCTGTCCCTCCCAGGAGCCTTCCCTAGCTGGGGGCTGCAATGGTAGAGGCTCAAGAGAGCCACACAGGGTAGCCGGGTTCCTGGGGCCCAGCCCTTCCTCTGGAGTCACCTCCCAGAGCCCCTCTTCCCCACACCGTCACCCACAACCACACCCCACAGGTCGGGAAGGAGTCGTTTAAATGACAACGGCTGCGCTTGGCCCTTCCCTGCTGGGCTCCATCTCCAGGAGCTGGCTCAGCAGCCCAGGCGCAGTGCCTTTCGGAAGACTGTGCGGAACTCAGCATTGAAGATGGTGTAGATGACGGGGTTGAGGGCGCTGTTGACGTAGCCCAGCCAGGTGACGGCGCTGACCAGGCGTGGGGACACGGAGCAGGCCGGACACAGCGCCTGAGTGATGTGCACCACGAAGAAGGGTGTCCAGCACACCAGGAAGGCCCCTGAGGATGGGCACCATGAGCAAGCGCACCAGCGGCTGCGGCGGTGGTGCGCGCCCGGGTCCCCCGCCTGCACCG